TCCTGAAACCAGGAGAAGCAGGAGACTGCTAAGCAGAAAAATGTCTCCCTATTGAATGCATTTCTCAGGCATTGTGTTAGGAACAGAGAGCTGGAGCACTTATGCTGATTCTTTCAGATTTTCTTGTGTGCAGTTTAGTCTCATTTGGCCCTCTTTGTTTCCCCCATGCTTAGAGCAAATGATTTCTATTTAATGTGAAAATAGGACCCAATTTTCCTTCTTTCTTTCCATGGCAAAAAAAGACTGTGCTATGGTTTGAGAGGAAAAAAATCAATGAAAAGTCCTTATTATTGTTTTATGGTACTAAAATTCCAATAACTTCAGTGGAACTGCTCTGGATCACTAAGCACATCCCATCTTGTAGGTGGCATAAAACCTTCACACAGTTTTTGCTCACAGTCTTACATTTTTTTTATTACCTAAATACTGCAATTAAGTTTTCTGCAATTTTGTTTCCTTGTGATATATGTGATAATATATATCTCACCCAAGTTAGAAAACTGTTGGGCTGCTCTCACCTAATGGAAGGGGAAAAGTCTTGAACACAGCAGTATTAGGCTGATGGGAGTGAAAAGGTTGGACAGGTTTCTGTTGCTTTGGATGTTCAGAATGTGTTCACAACTGCCCCAAGTTGGAGGTAACAACAATTACAACATTTCTATGTCATCTGCTCACCTGTGTTAGTGCTGACAGTGGTGCTGTGCCAGCTGAGACAAATACAGTCCTGGTCTTGTAGTGATGAGTTACACTGTGTTTGTATTAATTCAGGGAAAGAAAACACAAATTCTGCTCTTCGTTACACCAGGACAAACTCAGCTGTGTGGCCTGGAGTTCCTTCATGGTAACACTCTTATCACAGCACAGTAAAGTTCAAGGCTTGCATGTCTAAACATCTCTCTTGGAAAGAAATTCACAGTTATCACAGCACAGTAAAGTTCAAGGCTTGTATGTCTAAACATCTCTCCTGGAAAGAAATTCAGTTACCATTTCATCAGGGCAGCAAAACCTTCAGTGTCCATCTGGATAATGGAGATGTTTACAAGCTGCATGAACATCTGTATGATTGAGAGTTTCTTTCGTGCAAAAGAAAATGCTGAACACTTGTTATTTTCCTCCAGAATTCTCATTGTTCAAAGAGTCTAAACATCCTCTCCAGATGTTCCAGTGTTTTTCTCCCATTTTTTTCTCAATTACCTTTGAAAATTCTGAACATTATAAATGAAATGAAATTATTAAGCATGTAAATAAAAATCAAGAAACTCGCAAAATTCAGTTTTATGCAAAGTAAGCAAAACAATATATTGACCTAATATTATTGGTAACTCTGCATTCAACAGGATTGGAAATCTTTAGGTAATGCTGTAACATAAAATTCAAAGCCATGCTAATAGACTTTAATTTTGCAAGTATTTTGCAATGCCAAATGGTCAAATTTATATAAAGAAACAGCAGGACAGCTAGGGGACACATTGTAAAGATCAGTTAGAAATAGTTCCCAAGGAGCTTATTTAATTGACTCTATTTTAGACAGAAAATTAAAGCACTTACTGGGGTTTTAGTTCCACAGTTTAAAGTGGATCTGAAAAATTGCTAAGCAAGACCATGTTGTTGAACAGTTGGATTAGCACCCACAGGCATAACCTGAAGTCAGATTTCTTATTAGTCTTACCCATTTTCCCAGGATATATATAGTCTCATCTACTATCTCAGAGTACACTCCATACTCGCCTGATGAGCAGAATGTCTACATTGCTGTCCTAAGAGGCTAAAACTAAATTAGAAGTTTCCACTAGGATGCACTCAGTTTAATACAGTT